CCGACTGTTAAGTCCAGCGCAGGGGGGCCCAGGGCTACGGCGGGGAGAGATGCCTCAGCATGGACCTGCCGTGGCAGGGAGAGGCCCCCCTGGACTTGCTGCGGCTGGGGGAGAGAAGCCCCTCCCTTGGCCCGGCCCAGCTCCGCTGGAGCTGCCGTGGTTGGGGAGTGGTGCCTCGCCCAGAGCTGTTGCGGCGAGAGAGAGCTGGGGGGAGTCCTCTCTCCTGACCGCAGCCCTGGGGAAGCCTGCACCCCAAATCCCTCATCCCTGGCTCCAACCCCTGCACCCCAATGCTCTGCCCCAGCCCTGAGCCCCCTCCCGCACACCAAATCCTTCATCCCTTGCCCTACCCCAGAGTCTGCACCCTTAGCCAGAGCCCTCATCCCCCCACACCTCAACCCTCTGCCCCAGCCCTGAGCCCCCTCCCACACTCCGAACCCCTTGGACACACAATACTAGGTTTAAAGGTAGCCATCCTGCAGCAAAAAAAACTTCACAACCAGACTTCAAAGAGAAACTGCTGAGCTTCAGTTCATTTGCAAATTTGACACCATCAGCTCAGGATTAAACAAAGACTGTGAATGGGTAGCCAACTACAAAAGCAGTTTCTCCTCCCTTGGTGTTCACACCTCAACTGCTAGAAGAGGGCCTCACCCTCCTGATTGAAATAACCTTGTTATCTCCAGACTGATTCTTGCCTGCATATTTATAGCTGCCTCTGGAAATTTCCATTACATGCATCTGACGAAGTGGGTGTTCACAAGCTTATGCTCCAATGCATCTGTTAGTCTTTAAGGTGCCACAGGACTCTCTGTTGCTTTTTACAGATTCAGACTAACACGGCCACCCCGCTGATAATATGAAGGTGATGTGTCACACATTACTTCCATACCGGTGCACATAACAAAATTAATTCCACACACAGACATAAAAAATGAGATAGGCAGGTTAGTCAAGAGGTTCCCCAAAGCCAGTTTTTCAGGGTAATAGGTGGAACATTCTGTATCTCTCAGTCATGCTGGGGGGTGCTCTGGTTCTTGGAAAAGATTAAAGGGAAACAAAGAAAATGATGCAGGAGTACTTGTGGCACCTTAGAGACTAACAAATTTATTAGAGCATAAGCTTTCGTGGACTACAGCCCACTTCTTCGGATGCATATCATCATATATGCATATATGCATCCGAAGAAGTGGGCTGTAGTCCATGAAAGCTTATGCTCTAATAAATTTGTTAGTCTCTAAGGTGCCACAAGTACTCCTGCATCATTTTCTTTGTTTCCCTTTAATCTTTTCCAAGAACCAGAGCACCCCCCAGCATGACTGAGAGATACAGAATGTTCCACCTATTACCCTGAAAAACTGGCTTTGGGGAACCTCTTGACTAACCTGCCTATCTCATTTTTTATGTCTGTGTGTGGAATTAATTTTGTTATGTGCACCGGTATGGAAGTAATGTGTGACACATCACCTTCATATTATCAGCGGGGTGGCCGTGTTAGTCTGA